TTCAAGATATTTTTGGCCTCCTCCTCATACTTTAATCAAGACAAATAATGTGACTCTTTTTGTGGACCAGAGTAGTACTACTTTTTTGTGCAAATCGATGACTTCTTCCCAGTACATGCTGCATCACGAATTGCTTATGTCAGCGTTATGCACGTTTCCTCGAAGGTCATACCGATCGTAGTGTATGTTGCTGGGCAAAGAAGACCTGCTTGAATTGAATAAATCCTCCTTGGCGAAGGACAATGTGGAGGTTTAGATGTCGTCGTCGCCCGATTCCCGGTGTTTTTACCTCTACAATAGTATCCCTCGAAAGTGTAGTGATAGGTAGGCTCATCGTCAACATGCCAATGACACGGTCGTGACGAGACCGAACGTCGCGCCTTCGTTCCCAACGTCGACGATGTCGACGGTGCGTACGTCGCCACGATGAAGCTCATACCGCCCGGCCTGGATTAGTGGTGCAACATACTTGCATTGCAGGAAACAAGGCATTTTCCTTTAGTACTGAAGAGTTTTGGAGTTGATTTATATGTGCATCAGACGTGCTCTGTTTGTAGATATTCTTTGCGATGGGCCGAGTACGCCTGGGTTGCTGCAATTGTGTCCTCGTGGGATGGCACGAATTTTTGTGTGTGGGTGCTACTTGGTAATGCGATTGTGCGGAACTGCCTGCTACTTCACCGTAAACAGGTCACGGCAACGGAGGAGCCACCGACAACGCGAACAAGTCAAGCTGAAAGAAGTCCCGCACCAGTGGATCCAGGGCGAGGTGAGGTCGCTGCAGAAACAGGTTGACGCACGCCGATTCGAGACGTTCGCGTCGATCGCTCAACGCGGACTCTTGTGTCAGGCGAAACCAAGTTTTCGGTGGCAGTTCCCATACAATATCCTTGAGCTGAAGTGCGCTCGAGAACGCGTCAAACTCGGAGTATCGCTTCTTGACAGTGAACGTGTGATGGGGTGTTTCCAGAACAACAGCATAAACGACATGTTGCGCTCCGGATTCGTTGGTAGACTCGTGGAACGACGGGATGGAGAGGGAAAACGTCGCGTTTGACGCTATGTCGTCCTTTGTCCACGTTGATTTTTGGGCAAACCTTGCGCACACCTCCACAGGTCGTGGGATCAAAATGAGGTCGTTATCGTCTTCATCATCATCATCTTCGTCTGTTTTGTCGTGGTCTTCCAAGGGTTGCTCCGTGGTAGTGTGCTTTGCCTTGACAATCGGTTGCAACGTTCGATTGACGACCGTGATAGACGGTACGACGGGGGTCACGTCGAGCTTGGACGCCGCCTCCTTCTGCTGCTGCTCGAGGGCTTGCAACTTCTTGCTCTTCTTCTGCGCCCCTCGTGCGCGCTTGCTGCTCATAATCTGCCTTGATGCACCGGTGCGCGACGCCATCTCGAACGACCTTGCCGGACACGCGATCGAGAATTGTAAAATGACATGAACCGCCTGAGCGTTACAATCGCATCTTTCCGTTCTTGGGCATAGGGTTGACTTCCGGATAAATATTATATTTCGAGGGTTTATTGGGCTAGAGCATTTTCCATGGATTATTCCAACTCGAGGAAGACAGGCACAGCCTGCCGGCCCCTCTCGACCTGCGCCGGTGCTGCCCGTAGAAGGGCGAATATAGGGAGGGAACCTCGCCATCCTTGGCAATCGTGAGGCCGCGCTTTGCCTGTTTGTGCGTGGGTCTGGCGGTGTGGTGAGATCTTGTCAAATTTTATCTTGTGTCGGGTTGTAAGTGCCTTCTCGAATCTTAGATTCCGAGCCAAAGAGCGATTTCGAAAACGGCCTGTGTGTGCAGTTACGTTTGCATCTTGCCGTGAAATTTGAATGAGAACGCCCAACAAAGTCAATGAATCTCGGCTCAAAGCAACGACGGCGTCGTTGCTATGCGAAACCCATAGGCCGCCCCATCGTACTCACGTGTGGCTGCCCCGTTGTTGTGGATTGCGTGACCGGACGTATAGATTACGACAAGTATATTTGTTGTACATGGCAACGTTTTACAGTTTACTGTTAACTGGTGAGGGAGTCCAGACGAGAGAGCCTGCCTTCACCGACGACGACGTGACTTCTCCATCGATATATATTATGCAACCCACTTTTGAGTGAATATTGGTGTGAAATCCGAAAAATATATAGAATTTTCCCAAATTCATGGAAGATTTCTCAAAAAATTCTTACAACACATGCCAGATTTTACGGCAAGCAGCACCATCATGTGCCGAGAACTTCCGTGTTCGACCAGCAACTGTTGGTTATGTTGGTCAGCGTAGGTGCCGCTTGTGCAGTGCCAGCATTGTCGTCGATTCCGCCGGGCCCCGAGGGTTGATCGCAACGCCGTCGGGACAATAGAATCAACCGTTCGTTCGCAAATCTAGAAGCACAACGACAGGCGCACGTGTTTCAAAACCACGACACATCGCAGTACGTAGGCCTCCAGTGAACACGACACGTGTTTCCCATTCATGTACCATCTATTTTGCATGTAAAAATGCCACATGATGCTACCGACCACGCCACGTTTTTCCAACGAGAGCGTGCCAGCCATTCCACCTCGATGTATCGGTCGGCCGACGTCGACAATAGTTTTCGCTGGAAAATGACACCGAGGGTCGAAATTGCCACAAGTGTTTACAAAGCATCTGATGTATTTATTCGATATCCAGAGCGGTATTCAGCAACACGCGTTGGTGTGATTGTAGCTCGATGGCGTCGCCCACGCAAGGCTTCAAAGATTAAAGCTTTGCATTATTTATTTTTTCAAACTAATAAAGCTGCTATAAAAGCTATAATAGTAAATCAAATTTAATTTTTGATAGTGATTTATTCCATCTAAATGTCCCAGTGCACCATTGGGTTTCACTTGGGCTGGCAAGAGGAGAAAAACGACCAAGCCGTTGAATGGGCAAAGAAGAATCATGGGTGCGGGAATCTCCTTCAGCATATTCAAGAAAGCGTGCGTTGGACCGACTGGAAAGGAGGCTGTGCCTCCGATTTCTATCTCTCCCAGAGTGCGATTTTGCCTCAAGCATGACCAGACATGCCAAACCTAGGCCATCTACGCCGAAGTGTTCACTCTGCAACCGTGATCAGTTGTCACCAGCAACGTCATGCAACCCCTGGGCGACATTGCAGAGATCGCGTTGAAATCCGCTCTGTTTGACCTCCACGTTCATCATGCTTCACATGCAATGCCAATATCGAGGCGCCAGCAAGCGCGATGATCGGTCTGAAGAGGCCCTCGCTGGCGTTAGCTGACATAAGTTGCTCGTCGAGAGTTCTGGAGCTCTTGTTGTCTCCCACTTGAGTTTACAGGTGCGGTCACTTCACACGGCAAGAGTTACTTCATACAAAACGCATCCCACCTTGGACAAACCTCAAACTCGTGCTTCAGTCGAACGCGCCACGAAATGCAAAGGGTCCTTTGTACCGCTCGGCCTGGGGAGGTCTTCGGAATCACTAGCATTGCCCCACCAAACCAACCCGTTGTGTGCGCGGACACTTGTTCTGGGATGGCCAACTGCGCCAGTACTTCGCGCAAGTCCGGTCAAGAGTTGCTTGCGCCTGCCAGTCATGCGATGTCGCAAGAATCTTGATGGTGTGCCTGGCGGTGGAAGCGACAGCGCTCGGTGCAAAGCGTAACACGTAGACCTGCTGCGCATATTGCAGTCGCATGGAAATCTCCTCACGTTGTTGCGCGTGTTACGTGTATAATCGAGCTAATCTTTCTATCTTGCCGACACGTTTAGCAGCGCTCACATATATCACGTCACGACAACACATAGATGCAAGTTTAGGAAACGAAGTCACCCAAGCACTGTGGAGCGAGAAAGCACTGTGGAGCGAGAAAGCACTAGATTGAAACGTACCTGTGGCAACCAAAATAGCGAGGAACTTATGCCCCTTGTCGATACCATTTCCCCCTCCATTCGATGCCGCCTACCTCACCCATATCGGTGCTATATTCCCCCATTTCGACACTCTATCCCCCCCCACTTCGATGCTCTATCTCCCCTATATTGATTCTATATACTGTTCCCCTCCCATTTCCTAGCCTTGTACCCTCCTCCCCGTCACAGCAACCACACTCTGTGTTCGATTGCCATTCTGCCGGGGTCACTGGAATCAATGATTGATTGTACCAAGTTTACTCCGTCTTACGTACATGAACGCCACGTTGTTCATACCCCGCTCGATAGCGTCCAACAGGCACGCTTGAATGCGATTTCGGACGTGGGGTCGATTGCCTGACTCCGTGCTTCATGATTGCCTTCGTTGCTATTGCGATCGGTCGATGATGCAGCCGCCAAATTCGATGCCTCGAACGAACCGTGCCATCCTGTCCTCGACTAGGATCCAGAGCGTCGCTTCAAGCGTGTATGTGACATACTAGAACGGTGGCGGCGGTACACACTGTCGACGCAAGGGTACGTTTTGCAAACGTCGACCCGGGAAATGCGGCCGCCGCTGTGGGCGACACAATCGCGTCGAGATGGACAAACGTCGAGCAACCTTCGACGGGCCAGGGCTTCTGCAATTGGTTTCCACCGTGTCG